ATCAGTAACCCGAAGTAAACATACGAACAGAAAGCCGAAGTGAAGGAAAACCTACCCGGGCTCAAGCTCGCCTGGATGAGCTTCTCCTCAGAAGTGAAGTCTTTATAATCTAACACAAGCTGAGCCAGTGACTGGAGCACCTTCTTGGTCTTCCCGTCTAGGATGACACCGGGGTCTTGAACGGCTATCCTCCAATCAGTGGGGAAGGGCCACCCCGTACTGCTCCGGACTATGAAGTAGTCTCGCTTCCAAGCTGGGACTTTGCTCGGGAGCTTGTGCATGAGTTTAAAACTCGGGCGGGGGGACAGGTAGTAAGACCGCCTATGCCCGGGGAGAGCGCCCGAAGCGCTCTTCTTTATAGCCAAAATGGTGCTGAGAATATCTAAATCTAGGGAGAGGGAACGGTCAAAGCAAAGAGAGATGGACCCCACCACATTCCGTATGGAGTTTGGGTGGAGTTGGTCCAGGGTAATGTTGAAGTGTACCAACACCTCAACGATCAAAGGGTGAAGAAGAAGTCGGAGCCCGGCTATCAGTGGCTCCCTGAAATCACGATCTCGTTAGGACCGTGCTCCCATGGGAAGTTGCCGGTGGGAAGGCTATACGAATATTCCTTAGGGAGGCGGAACCTCTGTATGAGGTCCTAAAGCCTCTCCGAGGTCATTATGGAAGGGCCGAACTAGTCTGGCTCCCGACCTCGGTGGGAGGCGGACGCTAGATGACCCGAACTTCGGATGGCTGAGCAGCAGAGGGGCCACCCCGAGCCGAGGTGCCTACCTCGGGCTCGTCGATAAGGCTGTCTACGCTAGACGACATAGCAGACTAGAGGGAAGAAACAAATTGAAAAAGGGAAAGAAGCTCGGGAGGACTCACCAAAAGAAACGCAACCGGACTAGGAGAACAAGACGAACTGGAAGACCCGAGCTAAGAGACCCCCGGCACGAGCTCAAACACTGATGACAAGAACTTTGAGAGGGAAGAAACAAATTGAAAAAGGGAAAGAAGCTCGGGAGGACTCACCAAAAGAAACGCAACCGGACTAGGAGAACAAGATGAACTGGAAGACCCGAGCTAAGAGACCCCCGGCACGAGCTCAAACACTGATGACAAGAACTTTGTGGCGAAAAAAATGGCCAAAGGTCCCCCTATTTATAGCCATAGCTGCGGGTTCCTCGAGGCGAAAGCAGTTTAGCGCGTTTTTGATGTCCGCGAAGTCCAAACCGCGTGAGATCCGCGCGTAATCCAGACGCAACTCGGAACCTTTTTTGATCAAATCGGGTGCTAAACCGGTCCAGCTGGATGGAGCGCACAACAAAGCGGCATGAATACCAATGCCAAATCCACTCGGCGTGTCATGACCTCCCCGCGCTGGGTCATCGCCGCCGGTGCAGGGAGTGGGGGGCAATTGATGKAGGGTGATTTGGCCCGACCTCGCAGCACGGGTACACGTGGGCGTGACCTTGCTCAAACAGTGACTCAGCATGACAGCGCAACGAGCGTGAACACAACTCGGAGGGAAAGTCCCATCGAGTACAGCTCGGCAACTCGGAGAGTAAACTACTCGCCGGGAGCCACCTTACCTGCACCTCCTCCCCGTGGTTAAGGCACTTCGGGACATCCCGAGTTTGGGATGTCCTAACCTCTCTTAAGGCCCGAGCTCCCCCCAGTGGACATCGGGCCACTCCCAGGCAAGAACGTACCGATCCATCTCTGGACACCCCGAGGCATGGACACCTCGGGTCAGCCAGCTCGGCATAACCTGCTACAGGCAACTCGTCACTCAAGTGACAGCCCAGCTCAGGGTGATTCGCGGAAGGGCAGTTCGGTATACCACAGGAAAGCTTCCTACTTGACCGTCGTACCCGACAAATCTGTGGATAGCAGACATGTCCCTCGTCAGATAGCGCCGCGCCTGTCACCTTCAAAATGGTGTCTCGCGCCTGACAGGCACGTACCCTGCAACGACGGCCCCGCGCGTGCCACCTCAGCCTTGCTTGTAACGGCTGTGGCAGGCTGACAGTGGCGGTTATACCTGCCCTGTCAGAAGTCAGAGGGCCTGAAGCAATGGAATTCGATTATAAGGAGATCATTCTCAAGGAACAAGGTATCTTCGAATCACTTGCGCAACCTTCACTCTTAGCCTTCCGTTTTTCTTCTCTTCTTGCACACAGTACTGAATTAATCATCGGAGCGTTCCCACCGAGAAACCCCCCGGGAGTTCTTCCTCTTTCCTCTCGTCTCAGGTACCTCTCAGGAGCCACGCGAGTGCCAGCTAGGAGTGACCGGATCGCGCAACATCATCATTTTCATCACACCATTTCTTATACTCTCTTATACTCTCTCAAATCTCAACCTCTCATACATCTTACATTTATACTCTCATACTCTCTCTGCTCTCCTATTCTCAACTTGATTCAACAAGAAGAAGGCTTACTCGGGTATCTAAAGTTAGCAATTTGGGAGACTTGAAGGCATCAATCGTTGAAATCAAGTTGAGATTCTGAACCAACAATCCGGGTAAGTGCAATTAAATTAATTTTTATTTTTTATAATTAAAAAAATGGTTGGCTCCTCCTCTCACTCTCGACACCAATTCCACAACGTGGTTAATGTCAACAAGGTCAATGTTTAGTCACAATATGATAGTGTTAGTGCTGATATAGATGCTACTGATATTGCTAACGTTCCCACCCCTAGTACTTTACTAGAGGTAGGGGAAGAAAAACAAACACTAGGTTGATTAGCTTGGTTTGGACAATATTTAAAATAGAGGATGTTGAGGGGAAGGGAAAGAGAGTCATTTGTCAAAAATGTATGAGTGACTTTAGCTACAGTAGTAGTGGTGGTACTGGCCACTTGGACAGACATTTGAGATGTCATATGATGAAAGAAGAAGAAGAAGAAGAAGAAAGGAAAGAAACATCACAATCACAAATAGGAAATGAGATTTGTGGTACTTTTAAATATTTCCAAGAAAAAATGAGGCAAGAATTAATAAAATATATTGTGCATATTGAACATCTATTTTTATTAGCTGAAGATACTAAACTTGAAAACTTTTTATGTAGATTTATAAATCCACAATTTTAAAAAAAAAATCTAAAAATACTATTAGAACAAATGCTTTAAAAATTTTTTATTCATATAAACAAAATTTAATTTCTATGCTATCAAAATCTTAATTCTAAAATTGCAATGTCTCCAATTCACCCAAACTCTATGCGGACCTGGCACATTGCTGCAATTTAATGAATCTGTGAGTGCACTTTCTGATTAACTTGGGAGCGCATTTTGTTGCCTCCAGGTTTTTCCGAGTTTCTTTCATTTTTTAGGAAAAGTAAGTTAAGCTTAATAACTACAAGACGGGATCTGCTCCTCACAAATGGCGCCCAAATGTCTACTTATTGCAAGGTAGGATTTGGGTTCGGGTTCCCAAAGATACCTTTGGGAGCCCAAATGTCTCACAACCAAACCGAACTTGATTCCCAACATCTCACTAAACATTCAAACCGAACTTGGGTTCCCAAAACATCTCAACTGAACGTCTTCTTCCTCTCAAACCCAACCTCACATCTTCTCATAACCATTTCAGTCATTGCAACTTTGCAAGTTCAGCCACAAGTTTCAAACATTTTAGCCTTTCAACATCTGAAACCCATCTAATGTTTTTTCTTGAATGAACAGATTTGCTTACATGTTTGCATCAAGGTTTCAGTCTTTTCAAAAGTTGCAGGTTTGGTTGAACAGATTTTTCTAGTTGCAAACTCTTCCAAGCTTCGGATTCTTATAAAGTGAAGTTTCAACAGGTTGCAAACTCTTCCAAATGCGATGATTTTGAAAGAAAAAATATTAAAAAAAAAACAAGTAAAAAGCTTTAACAACAGTGAAAAAATTGATCTGGGTCAACGCGACACCCGTTTTAACGACCGGGTGAAGAAGACGACCAAAACGGACCTAATATAGCCCTTTTTATTGGACCCGTTTCACATAAACGGGTTCACTGTTAACCGTTTTAAAACGGCCAATCAAGACCCGTATGCTACATGATTATGATAATAACTGTGTATTGTACGGTTGTAACAAAATAATAATAATAATAATAATAAATTAATAATAAAAGTATTAATAATAATAGTAATAATAATAATATAAATAATAATAATAAAATAAAATAATATTGAAATAATAAAAGAATAAAGATAATATAACAAAATAATAGTAAAAAAATTATTATAAAATAATAATAAATATAAAATAATAAGAAAATAATAATAATAATAATATAAAATAAATTTTTATTATTTCATTTTTTTATTAACAAAACCTGTACATCACACAGTCCCCGCTATATAATATAAAATTAGAGAAATTAATGGCAAACCAGCCAAACAATTTGGCATCCAAAACTGGGAGCATTGACCGATACCAGCCTCATATATTCATGGAAGTGTCAGATATTTCCACGTGTGTGGGCCGTTAAAGCATCTGGTGTAACCCGCCAATTAATACATGAACATGATTGGACCATTAATTCATGAACAATAATTAATAGTAAAAATGTTTTTATAAAAATACTTTTTTGAAAGTGTTTTTATAAAAAATATTTTTGTAAAAGTATTTTCATAAAAGCATTTTTATAAAATTCAACTAGGAATAACTTCATAAGTGGTATTTTAAAATTTAATTAGAGATAATTTTAGAAGAAAAAAATCAATAAGTTTTTATTATATAAACACTTAAAAAAAACTGAAAATTTAAGCTTAAAAAATAAATCCTTATTTTTAAAATAAACATTTATTTTAAATTTATTTCTCAAATACCAATAAATGCTTAATGACCCAAATAAACACTTATTTTTAAATACTCTCAAATTAGCATGTCCTAAGATTTACGTTTTGCAACAAGAACAAGGCATCCACAATTCTTAATTTCCTTCTTCCAAGAGACCTTTGGAGTTTGGCTGTTTGGGAGTTGTATTATTCTCTTATGGTTCGTAGAAAATGGCGATTCGTTTACCTGGAGTTGTACAGGCTAAGCAAATTCTCCGACGGTCTCTTCCAACCAGAGCAGCCGTGAATGTCCCAAAAGGCCACGCTGCAGTTTATATTGGGGAGACCCAGAAGAAGCGATTCGTGGTTCCAATTTCATACATAAATCATCCTTTGTTCGAAGACTTACTTTCTCACGCAGAGGAAGAGTTTGGGTTTGATCATCCAATGGGTGGTTTGACGATTCCATGCAAGGAAGAAGCCTTCATCGCCTTCACCCGTCGCTTGAATGACTCATGAAAGCTGACGAAAATTATTCGAATTTTATATATGTCTGATCAAAAACCACTTACACATATTGACTTGCCTAATTCTCTTCTTACTGACCCATACATATACTGTTCTCTTCAATTTTGACTAAACAGGGTTGTTCTCAAATCCCAACCTATATATATATATATATATATATATATATATATATATATATTAAAACTGGTCCTTCCATGTCGACATGTCTCTGTTTTGAGATAACCTATTTATTTATTTTCTCATTTTTCTCATTTTTTAATTTTTAATTCCATGTCATTTTTAAACAACCAATATATGCACTTTCGCAATAACCTAAATAATCTTTTCTCCTAAAATTATTCCTAACCTACCTCCCCCACTATCCCCACTATTTCCAAAATTATCACTAATTCCTATTTATCTTCTAAATTATCACTAATTCCAATTTATCTCCAAAATTATCTCTAATTTAGTAGAGAGCTTTTCTCCTAAATTATCTCTAATTCCGATTTATCCTCTCCCATACCTTTTATCTATATCTATTTAAAGAAACTATGGATTAAAAATTTAAGAATTATTTAAATATTCTAACAAAATTATAAAATAACTAAAATATTTATTAAAAACACAAAAAAAAATTATATTTTTATAAAATATATCACAAAATTATTTACTAACAATTTAAATTATGTTTTTCTAGATTATCAATTTAAATGTTTTTTAAATATTTAATATTAGGTAATAGCTTTAAATAAATAAAATATAAATAACACAAAATTAAATACTCTACAGATTAATTAAATATTTAAATAACTAAATATTTATCATAACTAGATTTTAAATAGTTAAAATGATGAAATTATGTAATAAATTTAAAAAAAAAAATTCTTCAAAGTAGAAAAATAATTATAACAAAATATTTAAATGAATAATAATTTAATATATTACAAATTTAATAATGAAATTATGTAATCATAATATAAATTATGATTTTATGGAATATTAAATTAAATAAATAATTAATATTTTAAAATTTAAATACTTTACATATTATTTAAGTATTTAAATAACTAAATAGTTTAAATAATAAAATATTTAACATAACTATATTTTAAATAGTTAAAATAAATAAATTATGTAATAAATTTAAAAAAAATCTAAAAAGTAGAAAAGTAGTTATAACATAATATTGAAATTAATAATAATTTAATAATTTTACATAATACTATAAATAATTAATTTTACTTATATCAAGTAATAATTTGAGAAAATAACTTTCAAAAAAATAATATTTATTAATAATAATTTTAAACTCTTAATCTATATTCATTATATAATTATATATACTAAAATTAATATTTATTTTCTTTTGTGATAAATGTATTTTCAATAAGTATGTATAAATTTATTTTGTTAAGTTATTTAATATAAAACTTTCAATAATTATTGGAGATTACATTACTATTATTGAAATTTTTAAAATTAATTTATTGTACTTATTGTGTTTTTGTTATAAGTTATTGATTAATATTTAGTATAGATTAAACTATTATTTGAGATTATATTATTTATTGACTAAGTTAATATATTTTTAGTACTTATTGTATTTTTATAATTTCTGTAATTAATGAAGTTTTCATTATCAATATATTTTCAATAATTGTGTATTTTTTCTATAAATTTTTAATAATTATGGGAGATTAAACTATTGTTATTTATTAGATATAAGACTTTTAATTTAGCTGAAATTATGAGTGTTCATGATTGGTTCGGTGCAGTCGTAGGCTATTTGGCCAACCAAATTGACCTGGTTAGGTTAGGGAGTTGGTCAGCTGAAGCCGACTAATCTTTTGTGAAAATCGACCCACTCAACTTGTATTGGCTTGGGTTGATTTTTCGGTTTGGTCAGTTTGTTCAAAAGATTTAAACTTAAAAATTTAATTTAATTTTAAAAATTACAGTGTGATTATTAAATAATAAATTTAAAAATTAGATTTATGATATAAAACATTTTGGACTGAGAAATATGGGAAAATTCCCACTTTTCATATTAAAAATTATATTTAAAATATAAAATATTAATATATATATATATATATATGGTTAGGTCGTTCGATTTTGGTCAGTTTACAAATGGCCAAAGTTGAACTGATCCAACATGATCGAATTGGGAAATTTTTTAACCAAAGCTAACCTAGAGTACTAGAAAACCGACCAAATCGGGTCGAGTTAATTGGGTTGGTTGGTTTCATCAGTTTGATAAATAAGCCTAATTGAAATTAATTATTGTTATTTTTGTATTATCAAAATTTTATTAAAAGTAGTATATAAAATATGAATAATTATTAATTATTTAAAAAGTTGAAAATATAAAACAATTGTATACTCTTATGTGTTTCTATTAGGGTCATTTATTAGAACACACTTTTAGGGATGGCAATTTTCCCCATCCCCGACGGGGACCTGACTTCCCCGACCCAATGGGGCTAGGGATGGGGATTGAGGTCCACGCCCCACCCTGACCTCGATTTTATATATATATATATATATATATGTGTGTGTGTGTGTGTGTGTATGTGTGTGTATTAAATGTTATTTATATTAAATATATTATTATATATATATCAAAACATATTTAAAACATTATTTATAATTTAAATTTATTTATTTTAAAAAAAAACTGTTATCTGAAAATATTTTGGGGATTCGGGTCCCCACGAGGAACCCATCCCCATTGGGGTTAATTTCAGAATTGAGGTTGGGGCCTTAGACGCATGATTTCATTAAGGAGTGCTTGTTTTTCCCTTAGTCCCATGATATTTTATTCCAAAAATACCCCTAACAATTTTTTTGTATAAAAAACAAAATTGAACAAATGTAGCCAATAGAGTGTTTGCCCATGTCTTATTAAGGGAAAAATGATATTTTTATTTTTATTTTCTTTTGATTAAATTTATTTAAATGAACATTAAGTCACTGTCATTTTCCACTGTCATCTAATGGAATATTGATTAAGTCCATTGCATATTATAAGTGGTGTTTTAGTAAAATGCTAAGTATAAGGTAGATTTTAATAAATTCATAAATTTATAAGGAGTATTTTAATATATGACCCTTTTTATTATTTAGCTTTCTCTTAATAAATTCCGTATATCTATAAAAATCATAGAGAAAATAACAATCTCGTGATCAAATGAAGTTGATGAACATCAGTGTTCAGAATCAAAACCTTGCATTCCTCAATTTCAATTCCAGCTTTTAGTTGATCTTTCTGATGGTAATGTTGATTAATGGCTATTTTGCCACCAGACCCATATAAGAAGTTATAGGTCAGGAAATCAAATTCGTGCAGATTTCTTGATTTGAGAATTGCCGGATTGCATGGTAGGGCTTACTGTGGAATATTTAGAGGAGACGCACCTCATCTTTGTGGCAATCAACCATCAAAGTAATATTATAATTCTAGTACTACTACGATGCTCCTTCTCTGACAATAATATTAATTTTTCGAAAGTATTATTTCTGTTTAAGTTAATTAGGAAAGAGATTTGACACAGAAGAGTTCTGTCAAAGAAGTACTCCTTTTTCTGTTGCAAATACGTAACCCTCTCTATCCAAGTTGTTGGAGATCCGTTCTCCAATCAGAATTCCAACGCTTCTGCATCTCGTCATCACTTACCTCAAAGCTTTGAACTCTATCCCCAACCAACTCATCTATCACCAACCTGTGCAATTCTGCATCCTGTTGGGACTCACAGGAAAAATAAAAGTTTGATGACGTACAGAAAAAAAAAAGTATGTGCATTCGCATGAGATTCTTTTAGAATTTCAGTTCAAAATTCTTTTAAATAATGTTTCATATATAAACAATCAAAAAATTCTTGAGGTTGTAAATTTTTTTTTCTAAAAAGTCGTGCAATCCACATCTAAAACGGCATGGGCCCGCCTGGGCTCGTTTCATGGGCAATGTTTGAGGGGTTTTAGGTCAGGCAGGCATAGCTAGCCCGTCCAGGCCCGCATATTGGCCCGACCAGCACAACTCACATTACTCCTTGATATCTATCAAGAGGTGACATCACATGTGGACCTAGAAAGGGACAGATTGGGGAAATCATCAAATAGGAAGATCAAAGAGGAAAAGAGGAAAGTCTAGTCTAGGAAGGATGGAATGAAATAGAACTTGATCTGAACAAGGAAATCCTAGTTCTCCTTCAATAAGGGCTCCCACTCTAGCTAGCTATATAAAAGAATTCAACGTAAGATAATTTTCACACAGTTACTCTCAAAGAACCTCTAGTTCTCTGTCTTATCACAAGCATCTGCACTTTGCAGCCATGGCGATCGTCGGTGAATCAGAGGTGAAGCTGTTCAACAGATGGTCCTTGGATAATGTCCAGGTTGGTGACATATCTTTAGTGGATTATATTGGTGTATCTCCCAACAAGATCGCAACCTATGTCCCACACACAGCAGAGAGGTATTCTGTGAAGAGGTTCAAGGAGGCTCAGTGCCCCATTGTGGAGAGGTTGACCAATTCCCTGATGATGCACGGGCGGAACAATGGGAAGAAGCTCAAGGCTGTCTGCATCGTCAAGAAAGCAATGGAAATAATCCATTTGCTCACGGATCAAAACCCTATTCAAGTTATTGTTGATGCTATAATCAACAGTGGGCCAAGAGAAGATGCAACTCGTAACGGTTCTGCTGGTGTTGTGAGGCGTCAAGCTGTTGATATCTCTCATTTGAGGCGTGTTGATCAAATACTATATCTAAGGTTCAAAGTATCGACATGTATCGGCCCGTATCGTTCTGAAACCCTTCTGATATGCCCCTACAGTGGGTGTATCGGGGGTCTGACCAGTTTAGGGGGTGGAGGACTCCCAAACTGCCCCCACCCCCCACCCCCCTAATTGGTTGTGAAAAAAAATAAAAAAAAAAACTAGCAATAAAAAGCAATATAGATTCACCCGATACGCCTCTACCGGCGTATTCGACGTATCGATATTTTGAACCTTGACTATACCTTCTAACAAAGGGTGCCCGAGAGTGTGCTTTCAAGAACATGAAGTCCATAGCTGAATGCTTGGCAGATGAACTTATTAATGCAACTAAGGGTTTATCCAACCAACGTTTTAAAATATGACCCAGAAATGGAACCGTTTTGGGCACCGGTTTCTGGGTCAATGGTCCAACCATCTGGTTCGAATGGACGGCCTGTTTTGATAACAAAATTTTAAAAAATTAAAAAATTAAAAAAACGGTCAAAAACCATTGAACGGGTTGATGGTTCGACCGCCCAGATCAACAGTTTATTGATTTTTTTCAACAGTTTTTTAAAAATTTTAGGTTTTTGGGTAAAACGGAACTGATTGCCTGAACGGTTCCAAGGCCGAACGATCCAACCATCCAGATCAACGGCGGTTCAAAAACATTGCATCCAACAGCTCTGCCATTAAGAAGAAAGATGAGTTTGAACGTATTGCCAAGGCCAACCATTAGAAGAGACGAAGCTCTGTCTGTGGCTGCCATGTTAACGAGCAGAGGACCTGAGGGTTTTCTTTTGTTTGTTTTTCTCTCACATTTCCTTTTAGCTAGCTTTTTCAAAGCTCACCCCTGCCCCAAGTTTGCTGAGTATAGACCTACCATTTTTATTTTAATTTCTTTGTTAGAATGACGTCCTTTCCCTTGGGTTTTTTACTTTTTGGTAGAAATTATTGATTAGTTTTATCCCCTTTTAGTTTGGAAATCACATGTTAGGCCCTGTTTGGTTTGCAGGAAAAGGGGTTTGGAATCGGAATCGAAATCGGAATGGGCTATTCTGATTCCAACTGTTTGGTTGGACGGAATCGGAATCCTATTCCCATTATTGCTAGAATGGCATTTCCCCCATTTGAGGGAATGGCAATTTCCTGCCTCTCCCTTGGGAATGAAATCTCATTCATACTGATTTTAATTTTCAATCCCATTCCTATCTGAACCAAACAGAATATAAAAATAAACCATTCTGATTTCAATTCCAATTTCAACTACGAACCAAAGTGACCCTTAGTGTCTTCAAATCTATAAAGCTTGAAAGGTAACAATGCAATTGTATATATGTTGATTTGATCGCAAGTTTGAAGGAACACGTCAAATCATGTCCGGACTAACAGGGGCCACAATTGGAGAAGCAAATTGCATTGATAAGATCATAAGAGCTATGACTAGTAAACTAAAAGCTACATTATTAGTAGTCGTTTTCTTCCTTATCTGGCATTAGATTCCACGCTCCTTAGTCCTTACTTTCAAAGAGAGTATATATGTGGACATATTTCCATGTGGCCCCCATTGTATCCTAAAACATGACCGGTTGATAAATAAAGGTCCCACCCTTCTCTCTTATTTTTCAAAAGTTGTTGCCTTCACCCACGGTGGTACACGATCGTAGTACTCAAAATGCCTGAATTTTACTTGCACAAGTACCAGTACCATGGTCCATGGGGAATAGATCCATTTCTCTGCAAGTGGGCTGAGGGCCAATTTTGAGTTCGTTCCTCTACGCGACTGAGACCAATTTCCACCGACCCAGTTGGTCTAAGTTACTAAAATACGAGATTGTCTCCAAATATGCCAGTGGCCCAGCTGGCAATATCCACACATTGTATATGTGGTTTGCATTGAAGAACTGGGATCCAGGCCAGCATCTACCCTTTCCACAGTCATCTCCAGCATATTACATATGAAAGGGGAAAAAACGATGAAATTCTTTAATTCCAATCCACATGGCAAAGTAAATCACAATTTATTTATCTTATTGGCAATTTATATTTTTAATTCTTCAATTCCTTATTATATATTTGTTTTAATGTGAATTCTATATATTTTAAAATTTTTTTCTGTGTTTTATTCTTTGCTTATGACTTTTTCTATCTATCTGCGTGCATATATTGTAGTCTATTTCTCAATATAAAGTTGTCATCATACACAAGTTCTTTATTGGAATTAAATAACATGTAAGTGACAGTGGATAAAAAGAGGCAGGCAGGCAGGCAATTTTGTTAAACTTTTATATTGATAATATCTATTTTATCTTTTAGTTTAAAAAGAAAAATCAAAACTTTAAACGAACAAGGCGTAAAAACTATTTAACATGAGAAAATACAGCTATGGTTGTTTGCATAACTTTCATGGAACTTTGATCGATGATATATAGAGCTCTTCATTTTCCTACAAGAATCTGATCGAGTTGCACGGGGATTTTTTTTTTCTTATTCTTTCATTTAACTATCTCAGTTTCTTTACAATAATAAATCGAGAATATATGAAAATGTAAAATATATAGAACTAGAACGAGTGGAATAAATATATATACAGATATGGAGTTTCCCAAAACCGGATTGAACGAATGGGTTTTAAGAATTAATGTTGGCATCCGAATAGAATAAAGTGGGTAGGGTAGCCATGAGCAGCGTGGTGGCGTCGTTGACGAACTACGCACGCAAACGAGAAGTGAGATTGAAGAAGTAGTCCTCGTTGCATGGAATGGTGAGAGCACCCATTGGATGATGAAACCCGAACTCTTCCTCGGCTTTACTCAGCAAGTGTTGGAACAAAGGATGATTCAAATAGGATATTGGAATCACAACGCGCTTCTTCTGCTTCTGGCCCTCTCCAATAATGTATACAGCAATATGTCCCTTTGGAACATCACTCCTCACCTGCTTTTCAGCTGCAAGCAGGATAGATCGTTTGATAATCCTTTTGATTCCCATGGCTAGCTTCTCTATATATCCTTTAGTTTTGATACAACGATCCAAGACCCTAAGAAAAGGAGAGTGATATATGTATGTTATTGTGAGGATTTGACACTTTGCATGTAACGCCTAGGAAACGTACTTATATGCTTATGTATATATATAGAGAGAAATCTAGCTAGAAAGAGAGAGAGAAGAAGAAGAAGAACTGAAAAGAAAATTAATCAGGAGAAATTAATATAATCTCGATCGTGCAAGTGGAATTAGTTGTGGGACATCAGTCATTGGGGGATCACATGCTTTTGTCTACTAATTCATCAAAGTTTTGGGATCAAATGCCCTGCAAGTTGCATTGGAGGTGTAAGAAAACACGTCGTATAAGCGTTGTTTTTCTTCCTGAAGGGTTCTTAATCAGCCCTTTTTGTTGGTCATTAATGAAATGACTCAATGTATCTACAACAACCGCCCCCACGCCAGAAAGGCAAATTAAATAATAGCTGGATAGAGGAATATTTCAGCTGTCATGCAAGGAAAGTATATACATTAATCCACCATTCAGTTAGTGTAAAGCAGTAGATTTGCCACGTATTCTCATTTATTTTATACAGAAGAACACTGGATAGGGTGACTATTGGCAGACCAGGCTGACCAGCCCAGCCTGCTTTAGGACCTAGCCCAGTCTTTTATGCTAGCCCTACATGCTTATATATACACGAGCAAAGCCAGTAAGGCCATTTTGTTTGCCCAGTGACTGATCAGTGAGTCCTGATGGGTTGATCAGCTGCCTCGTTCAAATACAAATACAAATTAATATGCAGAGTGCAAAACCTGAATCAATTTCATCAGCCGAGTTGCGCAAGCCACGAGTCTAAAGCTGATAAGGCCCATGATGATTGGCCCAATTACTATGAGTAGAATATATTCTTAATCACGATAAAAGGGCATTAAGTTGGGACAAATGGCAAGAATTTTGGGGCTGAAATTCTGGTGTCAATCGTGATGTGGTGTACATATTATTGGCATTGGGGGCTCTTTTTGATCAGCATCTCTAAGCAATGAATAAGTAGGTATACTGTGTACGATGTTGCATTCTTTGTTCAAACAAATATCTTGCGGAGTCTTCCATCCGGAGACGTTTAGGTCTCTTTAAGATGGAATTTGTTTTGTGAGTGGAGAGTACTGAAGCCCAACATTTGGAGTCTTTCGTCTGCCACATACAACTATTGGGCCCAGGCCCCTCTGCGACTGCATGCGTGTTTATAGGATTGCCATACAGGGACGGGTTAGTTTAATATTGGGCCAATCAACTCATCAACTGGGCTTATGGGCTTTGGGATGCAAACCATGATTGGCTCTCAAGCCCCAAGCCCCTAACCGTCTATATTTCTCGAATAGTTCAAGCTTAAAACCCATTAAAATGCATTCAAAATAATGGTATATGGCATAATGGCAATATCTATGGTACCGGAAGAACACTTTTAAATTAAATGGATCCAGTCCTTTGATTTTGAAGCCCAAATCGTTCCTCTTAGGACTTCGGGCCCAATTTTACACTGTCTCCGGTTCAGGCTTTGGGCTGGGCCCATTAGAATTTTAACAAAAAGTCAAGCTCTAGCCCGATTTATGAACAGGTCTAATATACTAGTAAGTGTGTACATGCTTTACACGTAACAATTCTAGATGATGATAATTATAATAACAATACACCCAAAATTTTCTATAAACTTTAGTTATTTTTTTATTTGTTATTTTTATATTTTTTTCTGTTTTTTATCATTAATCATATGTAGATTGCAAAACCCAAATATGATTACATAAACACCCCATCCAAATATGTGATAATTAGATCAAATTGTAAAGTTTCAAGTATCATTAACAAGTCTACCTGTTTGGCTAGACTATTCTTTTTGTAGTGTTTTATCTTTTTTGTGTATATTTTTTCTTTTATTCATTTATCAAAAAATGTAAGATTTAAATAGTGGGAATTGAATGAGGTAAAAAGTAATAGTTCAATTTACAATTTAAACAATACAATTAAAAAAGGACTAAATTCAAAAATGAGTATTTCAGTCATTATTATAAAAATCGGACCAAACTGGATGGTCAAACCATTTGGCCCAGAAACTGGTCATGCACCGGTTCTATTTTGATCCTGAACCGCTATTTTATAAAAAAAAAATATTTAAATGGTTAGAGAACTGCTAACCCGGACAATTTTACCATTAAAATGTTCGACCTAGTTAACAATTCCCAAGTTGCTTTCAAACTAATTCCAAATTTTTTATTTATTTTAAAATAGAAATTAGAAAATAAAAAAAAATGAAAAAAGAAACTTTCATATCTTATAATCTTGTTTGATTATTCCCAATGGCCAAAATTAGTTAGGGTTTTTATTTTTTCCATTTTGATTTTGAGTTTTCTCATTTTTGTGATTCTTTTTAAGTTATAACAGTAAAAAAAATTGCAACTCCACTGAAGAAATCGAAAAATCAATGCAAGAGATGGGAGATTAAACACCGATCTTATATTAAAATTTAAGATACACCAATGAAGCAAACGATCTGGGATTTGAGAGAAATTTAGAGAGATGAGAGAGATGTAAGAAGAAGGCAAATCGTGATATAGCGGCGATGAAGATGAACATGGAGATAGTCAACTACAGTGATTCCTTCTTCTTCTTCTTCTTGTCACTTTTCAACTTTAACCAGTTGCCTCCTCAAAGTCTCCCACTCCCCTCTCATAATAATTAATATATATGGTGGACTT